AAAAAAAAAAAAAAAAAAAAGAGAAACAAACGAATACCAACGAAAGAGAGTTAACCTTCGCGAAAATTAAAAGTGAATGAAATTCAATAATGCGACTCGAAGCAATTCCAAGCTCTTTCCTGTTGATTAAAAAGCTCGTGAAATCTGGAGTCCTCGATAGGAACGAATAGAAACGAATCTAATCGTAGCAAAATGGGTCTTCGCGTATTAATTAAAAAGTCCTTTATGGACAGCAAGCGCACTCGATACTTCGATATTGGGTAAAAAAGAAAAAAAAAAGAAGAAGAAAAAAGGAAAAGGAAGAGAGGGAGAGACGAACGTTCAACGTAACGTAACAGCAGTTGTACGGTCGCATTCCAGGGTGACCTGAATCTCGGCCTGACCTTCCTCCGCGCATACTTTCTTCGCGATCGAACGAAGCAAATAGCCGTCGACCGTCCGAATATCGTCTGGAGACCCGTTACGTCCTCAGCGAGGCGGCTCACGTGCCGCATAAAAGCGGCGATGGCTGACTCGTACGAAACGACACACGTCTATTTTATCCGTCGTCCACGCCGGCATTTAATCATTCCGCGGTGCGCTTGCACGCTTCATGGAATTCCCTTATTCGTCCGTGGACATACATATATGTAGGATCGGCGGATGCGTGGCACCGTTCAACGTCGACGAATCGGGAGAAGGAGCGATTCTTCGTTCCGCCGATGGCTGCTGCACGATCAACAGCCACCGTGCTCTGGTCTTTTTGACCCGCGCCCGAACGTTTCCACAATGTTGCAGGTATATCGTGCGTCCATCGAGTTGCATACACACACACACACACATACACGCGCGAGAGAGTACGAGATAACGATTCAATCTTACCTGGGTTGCTGTCGGCGTTCGAGCTGAATAGAACGCACAGGCCGGTCTCGTAGTTGACCGCCTGGCAGGAATCGTTCGCTTGACAGGTCTCCAAGCAATCGGTGAGCATCAGCGTACCCGGTATGGACTCGAGCATGTTCGTGGGCGCGGTGAACACGTAGCCGGTCACCAGCTCGAAGCCCACCATTTCTGGGTCGCACTCGTCGGAACCGGCGGATGGCCCCGTGTAATCTGGCCCAGAAAGCCCCGACGGCACCGCGGAAGGGGCTGGCTGCTGGTCAGCCGCGTGCGTCGACTCCGCTGCCGCCGCCACGCGACCCAACCTCGCCACAGCCTGCAGCACCAGCAACGCCGTGATGAGTCTTGTCATCGTGCCGCTCCACCTGTTTCGCGATCTTCAACTGTAAACAGAAAAAAAGAACGCGCGATTACTTCATCGGTTTCGATCCGTGGATCGAATCGATCGATTCCTACGATTGAGAATCCTATCAACTCATCAGGAGAGTGCGAACGACAAGTTGAATTAATCATAAAAAGAAAGGAAAACAAGTGATAATTTTGCGGATACTATCTTTCAGATCATCTTCTTGTGACAGGTGAATTTTTAAGAACGATCCGAGTCGATCAACTGCAGTTTTTTTAATCAAAAACTTGATGTGTTTTAAGACAGTTTGCTAGTTAATTCGTGGTTGCGACTGATCACAATCGCGATTGTAGATCACCGTGCAATCTGGAGCTCACTCGGTATTAATTTGCGATTTTTGAAATTGTCGCTTATAATGGGCTCGCTGTGTGACATTAGAGAAGGAAATTGATTCTCTCTGGTGCGTTTTTACGGTTAACGAGCATCGAGGTGCTCGTGGTTAAATATAAACTCGACTTTTAAATGGTACTCGACGTAAGTTTAGAGACTATTTGAATCTATAGCAATCTCAATTTAGCCCGACACTTTGCGTCCGTTTTTCAACTTGTTCAACCTGTTTCCTCGAGCACCCCATAGAAATCTTGTAACGTGAAATTAACGACGATTCCTTCTCACCGCGTTGTTGCGCGTTTTATTTGCATACTGACAAGGTTAACAACACGAAATAGATGGTCGTAAAGTCTATGATTTGAACACAGGAAACTGTCGATCATTCTTCGTTTTTATCAATCGCTGGTAATCAGCAGGTATTCGTTGCGCGAAAGTGATTCCTCCTCGATTATCGGTATTGAAAGTCTGTTACCACGACAGAGATTCTAGATTCTTCAGTCTTCATTTTTCATTATAATGAAAAAAATTTTTTTTTTCTTCAATTTTATAATACAAAGCAATACCATTCATTTCCATTTGGAAAATTAGTTCGACGTCTATTAGACGTATATTTCAATTCACAATACTGAAAATGTACGATACACGGCGGTACGATATTTCAAACGTTACGAA